ACAGAACTGTGGCATTTACAGCTTCCGCTACCAAGCAATAAAATGTTGGAATAACATCCCGCCACCATTTAGGCATCTGACTACCATACACAGTTTTAAAAAACAACACAAAGAATACTTATTAAAAAAACAAATTTTAGGCATTCCACAGAAATTTCTTGACTAGCGGTTGCAATCTCACGTAATGTTTTTTAATATATTTTTTTTCTATGTTATTCTTATTAATATTTTCTTTTTTTTCGTTTAATCCTTACCACTCAGTCAAAATTATATCAAATTATACTCTGAACTATTTACATTATTTTTATTATACACACACCGCACAGACAATGACCAATAATATTGCTCTTTTTATTTTATATTTATTTTAATTATTATTTTCACGTACCCTCAAATGGGTTAAAGCTGAAAATCAGTGTTTTGTTCCTTGAACAATGTTCCACGCTGAGCTTCGACCGTTTTGTATTGCTACAGATCACACATAATAACACAATTTTATAAATCTTATGTTGTATATTCTTAGTATTGTCTATTCTTATGAACATGTTGTGTGTGATTAGTAACAAACAAATAAACTATATCGTTTATTTGTTTGTTACTAATCACACACACATTCTATCTATCTATCTATCTATATATTATGTACCTTATGTAATGACAATGGCATTCCTCAAGTTTTATAGGGATGTTTTTATTTAAATTATTGATTTGAAATATTGAAAATCCAAATGTTTTATAATGATGTGTATTAGATAGAGATACCGTGAGCAAACCATACGTTGTCTTTACTGCTGTTTCTTGTTACAGATATCACTGAAATTAAGGGCCTTCAGCTTATTTGTCGTTCAAGTTATAATATTAACAACCAAAGGATATATATAACACATATATGGAATGGTTAAAGGGAAACAAAATGTTATTACAAAATTTCGCTAGCACAATTCAAGTACATTGTCTACACTTTTAGCTATAATCGACATAGTAATAGTGCTGCCCTTACCTCCCTCGTCTGTGAAAAGCACTTACCTTGGTGACACATTGAGTTTATTAGACCTGCGTATTGATTTTATAACAAACTCGGCGGCAAATGTGAAACTAATAATTTTAATGGACTTTACATTTTACCATCAGGAGTACAAAACCAATAATCCATTAGCAAAGATAAGAAAAAATATTATGTTTTATTGCACATTTATTTTGCAAGGAAAATGCTGTGTCTATTTGAAAGATGTTTTTCCTCATCTTCGTATCGAATTGTTATAAATTGTATAGCAAATTGGAAAGGAATGAGCTACGAAATTCGGACTTGGCTTACTCAAAGCCCCTCGTCAAGTTCACAATAGAAACATGCCTACAAGAGTCCCATTAAGGACTTTTGTGCAGCCAAACTTGAGATTGCGATATGTATATTTTATTCTTGTTCGAGGAGTTTACGCCTTGTTGAGGTGCCCGTGACGATGTGGGAACCCACCCCTTGAAATGTCCATTAATACTGATTTGTTTTGGCTAAAATTTTACGCTTGTATATATTTGCAAAGTAAATTATTAAGGAAACTTTATTATTTTAATAAAGAACTACTTAATATTTTACTGTATAGTATAATGTGATAGAGATGTACCGATTTTTTTTCTAAAGAGTTGTGTTTTATAAAGACGTGCGTAGGTATGTCTAGGGTGCAGAGTTTATTCCGCTTCTACGAGCAATATCTAATGTTAAATTATTTTTATTTGAACTTTCATTACCCCGAACATAGCAATGTACTATATTTTCATATGAAATTATATGCAAACATAGTACAAAAAATCACATACATATGCACAATAGGTAATACCTACCTACCCTCACATAATTTTCATTTTTTTTATTGTTGTTTAATTTTTTTTAATCTTAACCACCGATCGACGAACTGTATAATGTAGGATAATATGTCATATATTTGTATTAAAGAAACTAAATATTTAAAGGCTATAGTTATGCTTGCTCATGCTTATAGCTTGTTCATTGTGGTTAGTATATGATATTAGTATCATATACTAACCACAATGAACAAAAACAAGCCGTATCCCATCCACTGGCCAGTGGTAACCCTCCCTTAATATATAGACATGAACCACATAACTGGGCAATTAAGAGAAATTGGCTCCGGTATCCGGTCCGGTCTTAGTACTTCTATTAAATTGAAATTGGCTCAACCAAGTATCGAACTGAATTGTAATACACGAGTATTTGACCAATAAGTTCGAATACAATGCCTACCTAATTTCCAGTATTATTATTATTTTGACTAATATAAACAAGTTATATTAGTCAAAATTTTGCTAGAGCACTACTTAGATATTAAACAATATTATAAAAAAATTAATAATTAAATTATTTGATTTCATTTTCTGTTCAGTTTGAAACAATAATCGCCTTACAATAAGTATTGTTATCCTAACAATTAACGATTAACTAACCAAAATTTGTATGTAGTATAACCATTATAAATGAGTATAAATCTTTTAATAAACATCGAATCTACGGGACTATGTGAATTTACTTAATTGTCTATTAGGTAAGTAGTATTCGCACAAAAATGACTACTTACAATAAATAACTATTAAATAACTACGTCCAATAAATAACTACAAAAAGTCTAAAAGAAATTCCATTTCATAAACTGTTTAAAAGATAGATTACAGTGATGATTCATTAAAATATTGAATTGCACAATTCTATGGTAATCGTTACCTAATTAAAAAAACAAACTAAACTCTGATAAACACACCAAGTTCTCAACTATTGTTTACGTGCATTTACGATCTTTGTGGTCTGAAAGCGAGCCATTGTCTCCGCGAACCATTAAGCAAAGCATTAGCAAGTGTTACAATAAGGGACTAAGTCGCAGGATATCCGGCTTTCCGGGCACAAAACATGGATAAAAATGGCGTCTTGATAGTTACATTGTGGTTATATGTCAACTATTAACATTGTTATTTTAGATTTATTCATCATGAAGAGGAAAGATTTTATTTTTATATTTTTGTTTATTTGTTTGTACTGAATTAACTTAACGGATTTAATAAAGTAGACTAGTTTGTAGTTAGTAAAGTAAACTGTCAACAAATACAAAAAACTATTTCACGCGGACAACGCCGTGGGATATAACCAATGCACATACATGTAATGCTTGCAATGCAATTTTTTTGTAAATTGATTATGGTATGACTTAATATTTTATGATTCTTATAATCTTTCCAATCGATTTTAAAAAATGTGTTCTCATATCAAAATAATTTTGTTTGTTTTTGTTGTTATTCAACTTATACAGACCAATGTAAAGAAGACAGTTATTACCAATAAATACTGCAGTATACATATTTAATTCAAAAAACAATCAATTACGCAAATTCTATTTTAATCTGGAATGAGATAGGCTTGAATAATAAATATCGAATAGTTAACTTCATATATAACCATAATTTATCTTAAATCAGTTATGTAAAGAAATTCTAATTGAAATGTCGAAAGGCACGATATACGACCTTGTGGTTTCTTTGATGTTGGAAAGCTTACTTTGGTTGCTCACATTACCAAGATTTCAAAGGAAATTAGCTTTATGCCAAATGAGTGGCAAAACCTGTGGTGTGTATTTCTTGTTGTAATGTTTAATAGATTCCACTTTAGACTTAGCTACGAGTATATTAATATATATATAACTAACAAGTACATTTCCAAAGGTGACCCAAAGGTAGGCGAAATTGTTTATGGCTGTTACCCACTGATAATATAAAGTATTGATATATAAATACCGAGGTATTTATGACAATGCTTTGTGTGTGCTACTTTATAAAACGTCGTCTGCGCCTAGTCTCACCTATTTTAACCGCTAAGCAAATTGCTGTGTAAGTTATCTTTCAGTTGTAGGCAGACATATGCAGTAACATTACAGGATAAGAGGTATCTTAATCCTCCGTGCGTAAATGCGTGGTCTTCATATGACAACGTGATAATATTCGTGGTTCTGTTCTTGTATATAGACGACGGTTACCGCTTATTCTCAGGTGGATGGTCAATTTATTTTCCATTTCAAATACAGAAAAGAAATAAAGGCACAAGTAATATAAACTATATTCCTAATTAATATTATTTTAGTTATTACTGAAATCAGTACAGATGCATCTAACAATTAAACGAAAATTGACTGATGCCATCTCTTACCTAAACCAAAAAATTATCAATACCATTGCTGGGAATTATTAACGGGGGCAACAACCCCATACAAAAATCGCTCCAATAAATGTACAGACACGTACATTTATATTCATTTCTACTAGTATGCTTGCAACGAATCTATTCGTGAACTCTGACACCCTCCCAACCAAATAAATAATAATTTCAGTTGTTTGTGGAAGAGAATTCTTTGTTTTTAAAAGCTAATGTTCTATTTCTTATCTTGCACCAACTGAAGTATATTTTAAATTCTTTAGTGAATTTAAAAACAGAATTGGTCTCGACATTATATTTTTCGATTTTATTTTCGAGTACACTGTATATTGATTTAGTATATAATTATGACAAAAAAACGGGCGAAATGGGAATAATAAAAAAACACATGTAGATACCTGATGGATGGACCCAGCAACTCGTACTTTGTTCGAGTCTACTTCAGGAGCACTCTTTGTCTTCAGCTACAGGAACAGGGGCATCCATGGTTAGCAAACGTATCCTTTTTGTATTGTAAACGGGACCACAGACAAATTATATAGGATTGATTTTCAGATTTATACTTTCGGGTAACCCTACTAAGCTCTAACCCTACTAAGTAAATTATAATATGCTACAGATTTTTGCAAAGAATTATTTCATATATTTATAAATCGCCTGTCAAAAGGGGATGTTATGAATGTCCTCTTACGGACTAATACCTTTTTAAAATGCGTTTTACTATCTTGTCTTGGGTTATAGTCATAAAGATATATATATATGGATAACAAAAAAAACTAATATTTGTAGTTTGTTACTCAGTCGGCTCCATCGACCGGAAGTCTGGTACGTGACCGGAAATGAGTTTCCCGGGCATGCCGATACTTTCAGCACATGTTCGCGAACAAATTCTATACAGCACAGGTACGAGTAGGTACTGTAAAAGTACTCAACTGTATTGATCATAACAAGTTCATGTGTATTTTATAACATTCGGCTATGACTGACGTACGTTACTTTTTCATTTTGGTGCTTAGAATGTTTGCAATTTCTTGTTTACAAAAAAATATCGTTATTAAGGTGATTACACTGTGATACTTATCATATCTAAATTGTATTACATTCTCAGTAGAAAACAAAAACAGATATTTATATGTATATATTATTCTTTATAGGTTTATAGTAAACTCAAAAAGTGACCTATAAAAAATGGGTAAATATTATAAAAGAAATTATGGTCAAGCTGCCAACAGCGCTTTAATAAAAATATGTATATATATATATATATATATATATATATATTATATTGATTCAAAATATATATAAAATAAGTAAAGTAATGAGGTTTTCGTCTGTTCGTGTAAAGAAGTTATGTCAGTGAAATTCTTATCTACATAAACTTTTTTTTTATTTTTAGAGTGCTCTTATTTGTACATGTAATATTGTAGGATTTCATTAACTGTAGAATAACATAAATAAACAGCTTCTTAGAAATAATAGTCAATTATTAATATAGGTGTTTGATTCAAAAGCTCTTGCCTTCTAACCTCAGAGACCCCACAAGGGAATTACTTATCCAAGATTAACATTCAACATTGAATAATAATCAAAGGGTGCAATTGACCCAAATTATAACTAAGGTTAAAGTTAATCATATTGGAAATTGTGTTTAAATTAAATTCTAATCCCATGTTACTCTGTCGAATTGTAGTATATATGAAGAAATCAAACAACACTTTCCGACTTGAAAATAAAATTATGCTGATAATTACAAATTAAATTAATTTGTCTTATTTTTCTAATTAATATTAGACAAAATTAGGTAATATAATATAATATTTTGAAGATACCCTCCGGAATAATCAACGTGTAACCAGAATTAGTCTTACTTGAGAAAAAGGACTCCTTTTTCTATTTCTACACCTGAAAAATAATTGCTTTAAATATCTACCGTAGTAATTTTAAACAGAGTATTAGTTTATTTTCCTAATGGAAAAAGGTCACTAAGAGCATAAAATTGTAGTTGTAAGTTTTAATTAGAAACCGTATGTAATGTTTCACCACAGATTCAATACAAACTTTTGCATATAGATTAAATATTACAAAAATCACAGGAGTTTGAATTAATATAGGTACTTTGAGAGTATGTCGCGGTGAGGTTACCAGTTAAGTATTTAAACAACTTTTTGTACTCGTAATAATTATATCAAATATATGATTAAATTCTGACATAGAAAAAGTATTATAGGTATTAATTAAAGTTATAATAACATAAGTGTATGTACATATAATGAAGCGGTGAGGCATCAAATACCAAGTTTACTAAAAGCATAATATTAGAAAAAAAACTATGATTCAATAAAAATTAAATTTCAATAAAATATTTATAAATTTATAAATTTGTCTTCTGTCTTGTTCATAATACTTAGAGATTTAAAGAGACAATTATGAAAGATTCCGTTAATATTTATGCAACAAAGATTAAAAATAATAAACAAATAACAATTATTATATTATTTTAAATAATCTAAAAAACTAAAGTATTAAATTTACACAATACTTAGGTTTTGGTGCCAGTAACTTTAACTCTATACACGAGAATCTGATGTTTTCTGTGAACTGTCAACAAAATAACTGCTGCTTAAAAATAAAAACTCGCTCAATATTTGTCTCAATACTACGGAAATAATACAGCGCGTCTTAAAGTCTTTCTTCTTTATACGGAGTCTGTGTATGTGTTTTATTATGCCTATATGTGTTATTGTAGGTCTGTGTGTAAATTCGAAACTGCGTCTGTTTGTTTGTTACTTAGAAGACTAAATGTTTGAACGAATCTTATTGAAATTTAATATCAAGATACATTGTATCAGAAGTCCGTTATATGCCATGTTTTATTAAAAAAATAAGACGAAGTTACAGATAATATCTGGTTATAAAGAAAGGAAAAATACAATTCTAATTATCACCCCCCCCCCCCCCACCACAAACACCCAACTAAACAATAAGTAAAATACTGCACATTTTAGGGCTCCCTTCATGGTGTCATTTGCGATATCACCTGCGGTTTTAGTCGATAACCCGACTTGAGTTCATTTGTATGCCACCGCTGTGCTTGAATTAGTACCACGGGTGATACTTAAACAGGCCGGGTAATTACCATCATTTGCTCTATTCTGCGTTATGTTTGCTTAGATAAAGAACGAATGAAGATTTAAAAGAGCATTACTTTCATGACATAAAATTAAATGAGGTTCGAACATCTGATATTAAAAAACATATGCAGTAGAATCCAGATATACTCCTATATAATTTACAGTTGTAAAACATGATAATATTATTAAAATGTTAATAACTGAGCAGATAAATCTATCTACCTGCTTTCTTAGTCTTTTTTTGGTACACCATCACCACATTTTTAGTGGCAAACACTTGATAATCACAATAATACAATACATTCTCAGTTCCAATTAGACTTTAACCGTATCTAGTCAACACTTATTTTTAAGGATACAACACCTGATTATGACATTTGTTAATTTCGATGGGTACTTTTATCATTCTAGGGAGAAATTTCGTCTAGTCTTCTCTTTAATAATATTATCATGGCAAATATCTCATCTATATAATGTGTACAAATATAATGAGATTAAAGGGACCACAATATATGGATGCTATTTAAATATTACATTAATTCAGTCGGGACAATGACATTTACCATAAAAGATCGTAGTCGTTGTACCGACAATGTTATATCGGGTTTTTCTATATGCTTGAATGTTATGACACTTTTTTAGTGGTGGTGGGGCATCAGTGTAAGATGATAAAATGATTGCCACCAAACTTCACAAAGTAGAAAGTCGAATTAAGATGCCTCCCATTTTCTTCGATAATCATTTAATAAAAGGAAAAGTTGATCAAAATGAAAAACAAAGCACAATTGAATTTGTTCTTAACAAACGTGCAAGTTCCAGGCAAGCTGAAGGTAAGTAAATTGGTACATCGCGCTCACTTTCGCCAACAATCAGCGAGCAACTACCGGTAACCGAGTTTCGCTAACGAACTCCAGTTAACTAGATAGTAACGACGGGACTACCTAACTCTTAATTAGACCAACTGACGAGTGTAAACCAACTTTTTGGAACGTGCAGTTTTTTCAATTCATTTGTTTGCCACGGTTTAACGTAACAATAATTAATAAACAAGTGGAATTACGAAGAAAATTATAACACTGTAGTATTCAATATTTGTTTTAACACTTTGTACAAAATTCTCCGTGTTCGTACGTCTGTCACAGATGTTTTAGCCACCAATCAGCTTGTTTTTTCAGTGCTTTGTAAGCTGTGTTCTTACTTAAAAGCTATTGCATTGATTAATTTCACTGTGAATACGGCGGCATGACACGTTAGTCCCTATTTTAGCAAGGCCATTTAATTAGTGATTTTCTCTATGCTATTCATAAATACAGGCAATAGTAGTCACTTTCTATCCGTTTTACTGTTCCAATATACCTTACCACAAAAAAACATATTATGTATTGTAAAAAATAACTATTACAGCGTAAAATCTAGATTTTTTTATCGTGCTCATTAAAATAAAACAAGAAAACATCTTTTATACTAAAGCAGAGTAGTAACAACAATAACGAAAAAAAAAAGCCAGAACACAAATGCGAAATATTGAATTCCCCAAGGAGCGTCTGTTATTCCTTTATCACAAGGACCAATTACCGAGTTTTTCTCAATAGCGCCCAATCGTTCAGGAGGTTTTCTTTCATATTGATTTGATGAATAATTTTCCAATTGAGTTAACATGAATACCCTTAAGCGTCAATTACATAGAACGGGTACAGCAGTACCAGTACGTTCATTCCAGAAGAATATAATTTCTTTAAATCACTATTATCAAATCAGTCTTCATAACCACTACATGAATTTAAATGTCATCTAATTGGTTCGTTTCGAAATAGTAAATACAAGCTTACATTTTGTTATATGTATTTACAACCACTGTATGTACAACACAAAAATATATATAATAATCTATACATATAAATAAAATTGGAGTGTCTGTTTGTAATATTGAAATAATCTTTTTTTGCTACATGCATTGGTACGTGATGATGCGGCTCGAATGCTCAGATGGTAGATGATGATGGCTTCAGCAGATTACAGGGTTGTAGAAATGATAGACTTCGCTTGATAGTCTCGAATTTAATGGCAAATATACTATTTATTACAAATTTGGTGGAGTGAACAAAATGTATGTTAGATCGGTCGGTTGATATTTTGAGCCTGTTGCATTACGGTGCGTATTTGAATTGGATGGGTGTGCGCTCCAATCAGAACGCTCCTTTTGTGTTGCGTTTTGTTTCTGCTTGTACGCGACATGCCCCCGGCCTTGGAAGCTCTTGAGTGGTTCCAAATTGAACTGCGGTTGAGTCTTCTCTTATTTCCCGCTCCTAGGTGTGATTCCTTGGCTGCCACAATTAGAAGTGATGTTGATTCTGCTCCACTCTTTGATAGGCCTCAGCAAATGTCTCAGTTCTCGTGTACTGATATACTAGCGCTGTAAACGGACGACCAACCAGGGAGTGTGCAGGACTTAGAGTTGAAGGTTATTAGGATAGAATCAGTATTGAGGAAAATAGCAGATGAATTAGGACTGCTATAATTTGAGTCAGTATTGTCGTAAACTCTAATAACATTAAATGCTTATAAGTAAGGCATTTACAACTAGCCAAAATGATTAGTGCATATTCCACCATCCAAAAGCCCGCCAACATGAGGAGAATAGAGGGAAATAAACTAGATTGACTTACAATAATTAGATAATAATTTGGAAAATTTGTTTGTAGCACATGTGAAAATTTGATTTTATTAAGTTGAATAATTATTTTAGGCGGTTCACCATGATGCAAAACAGATTGTTTCAAAACGATAATGTATGCTTCAGTGGATAGATCGATTGCAAGTTTCAAAAGTACTGTGCGTGTCATGAAACATGCACGAAAACATTTGTTTTTATATTTATATGACTTAACGGATTTAGCGCCCATTCCTTTACGATTCAATGTAAACACCACATAATCAACACCATAGGTTATAAATGGATAAGTAGCATTTAACTGTTCGTGTGACACTAAATCCGCCGGGGTTTTCTTACCCCTAACATGCAACCATGGTATATCCTTCGTTAATTCGTGAATCTCAGATATTGTATTCTGAACGAATGCTTGTAAAATACTTGGTGACATGTGTAACCACCCTAGTATAATAGTGGAGTCAGACCAGAGTACTGCATCATAAAAATGACAGCGTAATGACTCACGCATCTTTATATATAATGGCAATAATTTTAAAGATAATAAGATATAGTGCGTCTAGTTTTATTTTTATCAATTGTAAATTGGTTATTATAAATAAATTCACTGTCATGAGGAATTTTATGCAAGCCTAATATTTTAGACATAATATTATTATACTTAATATTATAAACTAATTGTTTTATATAAATTGGGGTTCCATACAAATTAACACGCGTTATATGACCCACTTGTATACATTCATTAATAAAATTGCAGTATAGAAATTTATGATTATCATGGTTTTGTGATCGCCTATTTAACGTTGAAAATCGGTTTAGGGTTTGAGGATATGATTCGCCTAATTCATGTGGTGATGACTTGAGAGGAATGCGAACGCAAAACCTTCCATCATTATTTCGCATCGTAGTTTTAATGATAGGATTTTCGCACTCTCGCTGGTCATCAGTTTGCGTCTCACATGACTTAGTGACTTTCTCAAGCTCCCTAGATTGTTGTGATTGAGTATCGGTAACGTGTGTAAAATTACACTGGATTTGACCGGTATTCCGTATGCTTACATCCACGGAACCCGATATAATCCAGCCTAGTCGTGTACTTTGTAAAAACGGACCGTTAGGTAATCGCATTCTACCACTACTTAATAAATCCCAGAATTTATCTGCGCCTATTAAAATATCTATACTCTGGGATTCACAAAAGTACGGATCTGCTAACTGCACACTGTCAGGGATACGAAACTGCGCGTATTGTTTCGGTATCGCTGGCAACGTAGATGTTATATGCGGCAATACAATACATCTTATGCACGCTGTGTATGAGCTAATATGGGATTTAATTTCAATATTACACATCTTTGTGGACTGTGTTATTGAATTACCAACCCCATGAATTTCTTGAGTGGACTGTATAAATGGTAAATTTAGTAAATCGCATAAAGATTGCGTCATAATACATCGTTCGCTACCTGAATCTAAAAGCGCGCGAACAGAGTGAATATTATTGTATTTGTCATAAACATCGACTAACGCTGTCGATAAAAGAACTGGCTGCATACAGGGATACTGAGCGCATAATGTATTAGTGTGCGTAGATAAGCGTGAATACTCGTTAATGTTAAGATCGGTACCTATGACGGCGGCTGCGGGGCGCCCCCCTGCCTCGGTGAATGAAGAGTGCATAGATAATGCAGCTGTGTTCCGTTCGCTTACCGGTGACAAGTTGCAAACTTCACTATCTTTATGAATCAATGAGTTATGTTTTTTGTTACACTTCCTACATCCACCGAACCTGCATTCATTCGGGCGATGCCCCGGTCGCAAGCAGTTGTTGCATAATTTATTTTCACTGACGAACTTTAGCCTAGAATCTAGATCAGTGTTTATAAATGTTTGACACGCATATAATGGATGATAACCGTTGTCACAGAATAAACAAGATCGCTTCGTGTGGATTTGTGGCTTATTGCTAGAAACATTACAATGTACGTTGTGTTTTATCGTGTTTGAAATTTGTTTGTTATTTGAATCGGTTTTATAATTATTGTGCGACGCAAGTAATGTTTCTAACATGTCGGCCCGATCTTTTAGGAATGCTAATAACGTATCTACCGTCAATCGCGATTCGGAGTTACCAGAAAGTTTTAAAACTGTGATTTTATATTGTTCCCATTCGCGTTCAGATATTTTGTCTAATTTAGATACGATTATGTATATAATTAGTGTATCCCAGCTATCGACTGGTTCGCCTAATAGGTTTAATGCGCGTAGATTTTTTAAAATATTGTCGATTAAATATCGCAATTGATCTGGCGACTCCTTAGTCACGGTTTGAAGAGTAATTAATGCCTTTACGTGGTTATGTATTAATAATCTACTATTATTGAACCGATTTAAGAGTAGTTCCCATGCCACCGAATAATTATTAGCTGAAAATTCCAACGAATCGATAACCATAGCTGCAGTAGCTTTTAATGACGATTTTAGATAGTGAAACTTTTGAATGCTACTTATATTCGTATTATTATGTACCAATGATAAGAAGATGTCCCTATATTGTAGCCACTGATCGCTGAGGCCTGTAAAGGTAGGTACCGAAATTACTGGAAGTTTCAAGGAATCGTTAGAATTGGGGCATGATTTGGAATATGACGCGTCATCTTCTCCACTGAGCATACATTCAGCTTGAGACAGTGTGTTGAAATAGCTGTCTTCAAACTGACCTCTCTGTTCGATTTGCTCGTCTAAATCTATCTCTAATACTAGTTCTTCTAATTTAGATTGAAGCTCATCAAACTCAGAGAACAGATTTGCTGCGTTTTGGATTCGTAGTTTTAAATCTGCCTTTGTTTGACGAGATAAAATAGCATTGACTTCAAACGTATTGATAAAATTTTGAAATCTGGTAAACCGGCCTTTGATAATAGATCGTTTTTTAACTAAATTACTAATTAACTGATTCGTGTTGTCATCGCCTGTAATTGATATTTTACAGGGCGACTTAGAACGAGACTTTAATGTGGATGATTGTTCACTCATATTGGTAGACAGTGAAAGGTGGAGTACTCACGTATAGGAACAGTAGAAGCAGTTGCTAGCTGACGGCAAGCTGCTCTGTTGTGCACTGGTAACTCTCTGCGTCTCAAACACTGTAATAGATATTTACCACAATACAGAACACAAGTACAGGACAGGGGTAGGATAGGATATCTGGTGGTCGTACCGATTTGCGCTGTATTCTCGGAGTTGATCTGCCAGGTATCTCGTCTGTCCAAGTCTCCCACTATGCTTTGCTGCTGCCCAAGGTTCTGGCTTGATATTGTAGACGTTGTTAGGTCTTGATGTGGAGTAATCTGATGAAGTCCTCAGTGGTCGCTCGTTCTTTGCTTGATCGTATGTGGCTCGAAGGTCCAAATGGTACGTGATGATGCGGCTCGAATGCTCAGATGGTAGATGATGATGGCTTCAGCAGATTACAGGGTGTAGAAATGATAGACTTCGCTTGATAGTCTCGAATTTAATGGCAAATATACTATTTATTACAAATTTGGTGGAGTGAACAAAATGTACGTTAGATCGATCGGTTGATATTTTAAGTCTGTTGCATTACGGTGCGTATTTGAATTGGATGGGTGTGCGCTCCAATCAGAACGCTCCTTTTGTGTTGCGTTTTGTTTCTGCTTGTACGCGACATGCATATAAATATGAATACGGTACATACACCAAAATTACAATTTTTGTCTGGCTGTCTGTCGGTTTATTTGTTCCGGCTAATCTCTGAAATGGCTGGACCAATTTTAACGGGACTTTTTTTGGCGGGTATATGATATAATAATGAGTAACTTAGGCAACTTTTATTTTAAAAAATAAAGTTATATTCCACGCGGACGAAGTCACGAGTACAGCTAGTAATAAACTAATCCTAGCCAATTAACACAGCGCCATCTAGTCCCACGGTAACAGACAACTGATGCAAATACTTATTTTTTGTAAATAGATATATAATATACATAGATAATATCCAGACTGAGACACAATCATACTCATGAATATAAATGTTTGCACCGTGTAAAACGTACCGAACCCGCGACTATTGGAAATAAAGAGGAAGGCCAGAAGAAGGACCACCGAGGCCGTCATACGTATATACACGTGATACACGTAATGGATACAGAAGAGACAAATTGTTTTGTAGGTATAAAGTGTGACCGTTAGGAATATGCTGAATCATTCATTTCTTAGGAAATTAGTAAAAAACGCTGTCCCCATCCGACCCTCACATTCAGTCGCAATTTTTTTAGCGACAAAAGCATTAAGGCATCTCGCGGGAAATTAATGGCGTTTCCCATTAAGGTTAAGTGCTATTTTAGCTTATGTGACTTGACAAAAAGTTGAGAACTTTGCTTCAAACGCTATATTGTTTCGACAGACTTGTCTCTTACGCAAATTGTTGATACCTACATACCTTCAATAAAACCAAAAGTTGTCGTTGTGTAAAAAAGTTATACACTCTTTATATTAATGAAAATATATTTCCTTTATCTTAAAACATAACATAATATAGTGGACATAGCTTTGAAACATCTTATATTGTATGAAGCGTAAAACAAGGCAGAATGTGTGTGTGGCAGAATAATACTTCTTGGTTGTTCGAATAAGAAACGAACAAGCACTTCCCACTTAATATGAATATGTGGAATGTCAACTCGTACAACAGTGTCTCAAATGATATAAAGTAGCAAAGGCACATGATCATGGAATTCTTGAAAGTACTTTTCAATATACTAAAATTTTTTGGTAATGTAGTTTAATTTAACGAAAGTATTCAAAGTATTAGATAAAACTACATAATTTTGAATTGATGATTATCATTTTCAATATAAGAGTATAAAATAACGGCACCTCACTACGTTTTACTCGTATCATTGGGTTTCCGATATTACAGCAATGCTGCAACCGCTATGACCATGGATGAACTGATTAGCAGCAGGATGATGGCACATTATGAGCAGACTATATTTTTGTCAAAATGATAAACATCTAGCTTAGATAAAAGTCAACTGTCATGTCAAATTTCATTAAGAACATTATATGTTGAGGTCCTGACAATATCAGAAACTGACAGACAGGTACGCTTTCTCTTTCTGTTTGTATGATTTTTTTTATATATGACACTACATATTACAATAACATACAAAAATAATTTTATAACGATTGCCGTTGATGCACTTCATTAAGTACGAGTATATGCATATAAGAATACTCAGTACAACGGACCATACACCGAGTAAATTGCCACGCTTTGGTACAAATGTTGCGCTCGAAACTCTAACGACCCGCAACTTTTAATTAGAGAACTTAAATCTCGCCTCGGAGCCATCGCGAAATATCGCACTTAAAAATAAGCTAGGCACACGCAGAATAAAATCAAGTTGAAGCACTATATACACATCAAGTACACAGATCTAATTTACATCATAAAGTGCCGAATCATTTAAAAAAATACATTTTATTTTGTGCGTTAGTGTCAGACTGGTAAATTAATGTACTCATACTTATAAATTAAAGTCTCAATTTAAATTAAAAGCAATTGTTCTTTTAATTCTTCATTAATGTAAATCATAAATTCAAATTCAAATTCAAAATATCTTTATTCATGTAGGTCTATTACAGACTCTTATGATATGTCAAATCTACCGTCAGTTCGGAATGATTTCGAGATGAGAAGAACTGACAAGAAACTCAGCTCGTATTTTTTTTTAATGTTGTACATATTTACAATAATACTACTTCATTTAAATTCAAATTTGGGAGAATAGAGTGACCACCAGCATATGCTATATAAAAAAAACCAAAAAAATCAAAAAATCTAATCAGTGTTCGCAACCTGAACAGACCAGTCCCCACAAGCAGCACCCGTACACGAGTATGACGGATGAGCCAGCCATCATAGCACTCAACCATAAATGCAATGAAAGCGTTATCTTAACTTAACAAAATGTAGGTTTGTATATAAAATATTACATACGCATCACTGGTACAGATAATAGGACGAGTACCAAGGTAGTTCGGTTATCTTGGTGAATTCACTAATAATTAACCTTTATTTTTAACAGTGGGGATTGCATGGAGGCTAACTTGACATGGTACACAGTTAAAAATTAAAGGGAGTTTATATTTACCAAAAATAATCAAACGTTTGAAAATAAACACAAACATAATAATTATAAGAGCTAGATTGAAGACCCAGCTAAGAACTTCAATTTAGAGTTTATTCTTACACAGGACAATCTAACAGAAGAAATCTAAAAACACTATAACCAACATCTATAAAAAATTACTATGAACTTAGTAATATTTCATTACTTTACATATTGTTAATATTTTATTAACCCAGTGGTATGACTAGATATATTGTAAGTTAGTTATAGACCATTCTATTTAATTTATTCCTGCGTAATCCAGAGTTTCTTCGGTGCTCGTTTTTATTAAGATAATAAAACTTCAAACTGCAGCTCTCGGCGGCTCAAAGTTCCCTCGCGAAGAGAAATTTTATGTACGGCTCGACATAATTTCAATTAGGTTTTAGTTAAGAAAAAATACTGCAATAAAGTTCAGACATATTAATTTCCTAAACTTTGTGTAGGTACACTCATACCATTGTGCATTTGAGTATGGATATAACTAAAATATCCATAATATGAAATCATTTAATAAATAAGTACATAATATAATAAATATTCAAATTTTTAAAGACTTTCGAATACATATTAATAGCCAAGAAAATACGTAACATTTTTACAAATGTCCGATGCCTGAATTCGGATACTCTGCGTTAGAGTGCAATGGAGAACCCTAGAAGAACCATCTTCATCATCACGATGTCCTCTACGCCAGGTAAGTATTCGTCAGGCACGAGTTGGTCTTCAGGCGCTCTATAAGTTCTACAGCAGGATTAAAATTTGTCTGCAGAAGAAATAATCGCAAACATTAGCAGTCCCAGTATATAAAAAGTTACTAAGAAGTTATAGCAACTTTGAAAGTAAAAGGTTAATATTTGTTAGAATTTCAGCCACGTACTAGTTATATCCATTTGGCAAAGTGAGCATTGTGCAATTTTAACACCTTTATTTCTCAAACTTTCTGTACCACGTGTTTACAGCAACATTTTCCTGTATTGAGGTTAGCTACCACTTACCATAATGGCTGTTTAGAAGTTTTTTGTTTGAATTTTTTAAAAACAATTCTTGAACACGACAAAAGAAGTTTGGCAGGTTGCGCACCATATTTGCAAATAAATTTGTCTAAATTTGGGTAAAAGTCGTAAATATGAGTTTTACATATTTTTCATATATAAAATTTAGAAAAAAAAGGATTAATATAATACATAATCAAGTTTTTATACTATTTTATTTAGTTTCCAATAATTATACAATGTTTTAACCACCATGACCACGGGTGGAGTGAAGAGCAGCAGGTAGATGGAAAGTTCTCGAAATATCCAAACTTAATAAAGACATTAAAGAATTTCTTAGTGGTTAGGTAAAAACCGAATTCTGTATATTATTACAGAAAAGTAATGTAGCTAATACGTAATAACGGCACAAATGAACTCATTTATGGAACGAAAAATCATAATTTACTCACCTTCTTAAAGAACTTCGTTTGTATTTTATTTATATGTGACTGTGTCATGTTACAACTTATCTACTTAGAATAGGTGTTTACATTTAAACACCATCACAATAACGTTCACGTATGTGCTTGAAAAGTAATATTTCGAGATAGGGTTGCCTCCATAAAATGTTTGTCTTTGTCAGAAGGGTTCCTGTGTGACAGATGAGTAATGTTGTTTACCGAGCTGGAATGGTCCAGGGCCCGCAGCCAATGTTTACTTTCAATAGCTGACTTTGACTAATGTCCAACAACTATCTCCATCTGCTATAAAATTCAGTACAATCATATATGTACATATATATATATATATGTATATATACATATACATTATCCTAGATATGGTATATATATATGTGGTACTT